ACTTGGCAATTGGTTGGTTGGCCATTTTGTTCCTTCATGTCTAGTGTGTAAAGTGGATGATCCTTAGTTAAAGGTACTGCCTTGTGTTGTTTGACACATTGAGCTGCACATAGATACAGCTGACATGTTGAGCAATGGTATGCTGGTTGGTTGTCACAGAAAGAGCAGTTAGTTGGTTTTCGCTCCTCAGTTTTCGTGACATACTCTAGTAGTTGACTTATCATTGTATTTGAAGCCAGCTTTTTTAGGTCTTCTTTTGTTAAATCATGTTCTTGTTTACAAGTTGGACATTTCATCTTACCATGAGTTTCCACCCATTTCTGGATACACTGTAGGCAGTAGGTGTGCATGCATTTCAGTGTCTTTGGTTGGTGAAACCTGTTGAGGCAGATGGCACACTCAAGATCTTTTTTATCCATAAACTGCAATGCTTTGGACACAGACATCTGTAGAGGCAACATAGATACTTAATATATTTTAATTCTTTCATAGATAATAATGTTTTCTGAATTCAAGGACCAACAATCAGCGTTGCTGTATATATATTTTGTGTTGTTTTTAAAAGCTGTATTTATAGTAGGTGACCATTCCAGCTTATCCTAGGTCACCTCATATTCAGGAGCCTTCTTATGAATTAATTTAATGTGATAATTAATAGACATTACTATTAATTCAAATTATGAGGCCTTAGTTTTCCAATGAATTCAAATTTACAATATCATTTTTTATTTTTTATATTTTGTTGTAATATTGTTACAATGATTTTATGCAAATCTGAGTTGTTGATTGATTGAGCTAGCTTGACCCTAACATTAAACTTGAGTCTCTTTTTAATACACTACGGTACATCGGAAGAACATTTATTTCTTTTTTTATGTTATGATTACTTCAAGTTGCACAGTTGATTGAGAATCACAGTATATTTAGGTGATATTAGATATCAGTCATCTGATTGGCTGATTGGCTTATATCATTATGCCCAAATCTGGTGATTTAACATTTCCTGTTGCTAGGTGTTCTGGGTATTTAGAATGAAATTGGATCAATTTCTTACCTTGATTCAAATATTGATTGGTAGGTATGAAGGTGTACCTGCTATAGGTTGAGTGTTGTTGTTGCCTGATACTTTACTGAATACTTTACTTTGTTGGTTTCTGCTGCATGAAACAAACAAAAAATGAAATATGTATATACTGTAGCACCCTTCTACCAGAATTGTATGTAATAATCATGAAATAGAGCACCCTCTATTTTTAAAATTTTACTGACCAGAAGTGCTATAGTCATCAGGGCATCCAGTAGGTGCACAGGGGGCACGTGCCCCGTTTCCACTAAATTTTAAAATTTCAATGCATATTGAAATTAGCTGTACTCTTGATCTATTCTGAATGTATTTCTGGTTTTTTAAAATTTTTATTGAATTTGAAAGTTAGCATATTGTAGATAGAACACTTAACCCTCTAGATACCATCTTCGACTGTAGTCGAAATTGACCTCAAACCGAGAAATCCCATTTTCGACTGCAATCGAAATTTCGTGACTAAAAAATAGGTGTTTTTCAAATCGCTCTTCTGTTTTTATTTTAGCTCCAATACGCCAGAAATTTTGAACACGCATGCGTGAAGCTTTTGTCTTTCGAAATCTGTGAACTCACATGGGCTTATATAAAAATTTTTAGAAATATCAATTTGAAATCGTTATTAATTAAACAAATTTTTCGAAATGGTCGCCCAAGATGTGTACACAGCTAAGCAAGCGATTGACCTGATTTTTGATTCAGACAGCGATGAAGGTAAATATTTAGATGTGCGAGACTTAGACGTGCCTGTTAGCGATGATGACGATGGGGCTTCAAAGCAGTTCTGACGGCGGAGATGTTCTTGATGAAGATGAGCCTAGGCCTAGAAATGTGAGGGTAGTCGACGCTTTTGATTGGAAAGATCGCGCTTATAGTTATGGATGGTTGGGTAAATAAATTATATAACTGTATGGAATAGGAATGTTATACTTGTTTTTATTTTTTTTTTGGCTATAATTTTTTTTTTCGGTTTTTTCTGACGATTTATATGTAGCATTTTTTTGTCATTTCTATTATATTATATATATATTATATCATATTATATTATGAAGAAAAATTCCAAAAATATAAATTATACATCAAAACAAAGCTTATTCTATAAGCTTTCTTTGTTTTTAGAAACATTTTTCTGTATAATTTACAGAAAGTTCCCAAAAATCCACCAGAACGACGTATACTCAAAAAACGCAAAAAACCTTGTTACACTGCAAAAGAATCCGGTATTCAAGGGTTTGCACTATAAAAGAATCCGGTATCCAGAGGGTTAACTAAACCAAGCATCAATTTGGTTTAGAACTAATAAAAATACAATTATGATTTTACCTGTCATCAACTTATCCCTCTATTGCATAAACTACTTAACCATTAATATTTAGTGCATGTTTAGTGCAGTTAATAATCGCTAGATCGAGAACGCAAATTGATATGATTTAGTGCCTGGGAACTCATTCTTAGCCAGATAAATTATGCTTATATACTGTAATCCTAATACCTACCTACAGATGGGTCATAGCACATACATTCAGGTACATGCATACATTACATATAGACTAGTTTTATGGGTAAGGCCTGACATATAGTTTATATAGTGTCCTAAATCATTTTATGTGATTTTCTCTAGGGGCCATTAAGTCACAGAAAACTCGAACAAAGTTTAGTGACAGAATGAATTTCCCATATCTTATATTTAGAGGAATTGTCAGTTAACCATAGTGTAAGCCTTTGAGTTGTTCTACAATGAACTCTGAATCACACATCTTACACCTACAGTAGGCCTAGTGATGGGCCATAGACATAGTGTCAGTTTTTGCAGGCATTATGTGTCCTGACATCGGAGAGCACATTACAGTAAATTCCATTATTTTAGTATCAGTGATAAATAGAATGTATCAGTGCTGAACTTCAAATATAAAAAGAAAACTTAAAATACTTAAAAGGCAAACTCACCAGGAAGTAAATGACGTTCACTCACTTTGGCACACCTTTAATATTTGGAATTCCCTAATGTCATGTATTTTCCCTTTGAAATATAGTATGCGTATAGTACGACACAAGCACAAAAGATACAGCCTTACAACATATTGTGATCACAGTGTACTGATAGTGGATCAAGTACCACTCTTTATTAAACAATGGTATATATATAGGCGTTGTCAAGTCTCAATGAACACATTGAATACAGGTGCCAAGTATTTAACATTCACCCCTACTAAATTTAATGTACATCTAAACCACATTTTCTAATTTCAAAATATCAATATTCAATAAACACAATATCAATAACAATGAATCAATAAATTGTATAATAATCATGAATAAATATAATAATCAAAAATAATCATACACCACATGCATTCATGCTTAACCCTCAATATAGGCCTATCTTTTAGTAAGTGTCTTTAGTCGTTGTGATCTTCTCAATACAATTTCTGGTTTAACATCGGTGCCACTGGTCTGTTTACAATCATTATTTTTAACAGATTCATTATCAATTAATTTAGTTTTAACAAGTCGTCCAAAACCTCTGAATCTTCTATTATATACGATACCCTTGATCTAATTTGATCAGTATGACGTAACCATATTTGATCACCAACTTCAACTTGGTATCTAAGTGGTCCTTTCTTACCCACTATTACACCTGGTGCCCACTTAGTTTGGTTTTTGCCTACATCATGAAAATCCCTAATATATACAGAATCATTTGACTTCAAATGATCTTAATTTAGTTTTAGATTTTTGCATCTCAATATGTAGTTTATTCCTAACGAATTCATTTAAGTTTGGACGCAATACATCGAGTCGTGTTCTTAAAGAACGCTTCAAAAACAACATAGCAGGCGTTTCGTTAGTCAAACTATGTACAGAGTTTCTATATGCTAAAAGAAACCAATTCAACTGGGTTTGCATTGAACATTTTCACCAACAGATGCTTTTAAGAGCTTGTTTCATTATAAATTGACCATAGAAAGTGGGTGGATTTTGTCCACATTTATATTTGGAGGAGCTGCGGGCTTTAGTAGGCCTACAGTGTTTACATATGGTTTGTAATTCCCACATAATTTGATATCGCCATTCTTTTTATGAACTGTTACTATGGAGCTTCCCCATTCTGAATGCGTTACAGGGGTCATTATTCCTTCTTCAACTAGTCTATCAATCTCAACATTTACTTTCTCTTTCATTGAATAAGGAACCCGGTGACATTTACTTATTAACAGTTTAGCATTATCACTTAATTCAATATCAGCTTTAACATTCTTTAATAAGCCTAGTTTGCCATCAAATAAGACTCATGCTTCTTTAAGATCATACCAACATTTAAATCCACATCATTTACACTATCGATTCTATTAATGGTTCCAAACAATTCAGCACAATTATCCATTAGATGCCAAGTATTTAACACGTAATGGCTCGTAAAGTTTTGCTATGTAAGAATTTTTTATGTAGATTTGCTTATTTCTATATGTGTTTTTGTGACGGTTTTATAGCGCTTTTGACTTTTATTATAATATTGAATTTGAAAGCTTTGTTAAATATATCCATATCAGTCTCTGAGTCAGCTTGCTAGTCAAGTTATGTTAAATGAACTATTAAAATAAATAATATATTGATATGCAAATATTAATATTTTTAGCTATTAAATGCTTTTGTTGTTTTGTCAAAAGAATGCACCACTGTTCAGTTTGTTCAGTCTTGTGTTTCATTGTGACCTCCATGAGTACCCTTTGGTATAGTAAAATTTTAAATTTCAATTTAAAATAAGACAAATATGAATATTTTATTTGTTTTTATATAATTATAATGAGACCAAAATCATGAATAATAATTTAATAATAATAATAATTTATTCATATTATAAATTAATATTGAAATAAGCATTGATGGCTAATGTTGAAATTGTTTTTTTGTTTAATAGGTGCAGTTATCATTATGTTTCAAATTCATTTACGAGTACAAGACCTTCAAAGCTGAAAGATCATTCAAAATGTGGTTGCTGACAATGAACATTTAAATAGTATACCAGCTGGTACTGTGTAGTTTTGGGTAATGAAACTTTACCAGATTATTTCAGAAACATGAACACGTTGGTGTTTTTATAGTGTGAACACTGTTTAGAGAAGACATAGATTCAATACGTTATCCAGGCCCGTAGCCAGGTCATTTCAAGGGGGGGTTCTCTGGGCGTGAGGTCCAGAGGCCTGCCTAAGGGCCCCGGTAGGGTCGGGGGGCGAAGCCCCCGAAGCCAGAGCGGTTTTTGTGTTTAATGGGTCTATATAATGTTATAAAAGCAGTTATGTTTTGAAAAAGATCTATGTAATAAAAAGGTGGTAATATAATAAAATTAGAAAATATTTCGTGAGTGGATTTCCCTTACGATTAAAAATCGTAGCGGTATTGCATCGTCAGTGGATTTCCCGTACGACTAAACCTCGTAACGGTACTTGGTTTGGTTTACAGGAGTTCGTGCTTCGAACAGGTCATTCCAATCATAGAAGAAGCCTTTTCATGGAGAAACTGTACCTTTTTAGCAAAGGTTTGAAACTAACTCCGGCTATATAAAAATTGATTAGAATATTGAAAATGTTATTCGTGTTAATGAATAGATAAAGATTACTAGGCCTAATATGTCCATTTTATTGATCTAATCTACGTGTATTTACTTTCATAGTTTATACCTAAATATTTAAAATTGTTTATAAATTTATTTAAAATACTATATGAAATAATGTAATCATTAAATTTATGATAATAATTGATATTTAAATAAACTAAAAGATTGAAACATGTTAAATACAGACACAAAGTATACATAAACCTATTTCTAGATTACAGAAAATATGTAAATCTGTATTAAAATGATATAAATTTATATATATATATATATATATATATATATATATATATAGAAATATTATGCGTAAATATGTATTTAGTATAACAAATTAAATTTAAACGAAAATATGGAAGAAACAGAGGAAGAAAGAATTGAATAGGAAAAAGTTGAAAATGAACAATAATAATCATTTTTTCATTATTGATCACGTTTTTGTGAAAATAACCCATCTTAAAGGACTATCTGTTGTTTTCTTCTTTGCCACAGTGGACGAAAAAAGTCAGTTATTCTACGACGTTTCGTAATTCTTTATCACTAAAAATTAACACTCGTTTTGACGCACTCCGTTCTGTTGTGTGTGTGTCTGCTGTTGAAAACAACCTTCCTAATTTTGTGACTGGCTATGATGACTGAGATGGACCATGTTGACTTATTAATAATATTTTGTTTGTGATGGAGAAAAGGAGTCAATTTCCCAAAAATGCTCCATCAGCAAATAGGTTAGTGTGCGCTGTGGACAGTATGGCTATGTAATTTACTAACCACACAGTCCAGAATCAGGTGATAAAGTCGCACAACTTTAGCTGCATTTGGTGGATTAAGTCGCAAAACTTTAGCTTCGTTTAGTGGCGCCATTTACTTTAGGTAGATGGCGACCGGTTTCGTTACGGGTTGGTACATTTCTTACAAACATTCAGGCAAATTCCAGTCAAAGTTGAGACGGGAGCCGGGTTTTTACCGATGTTTGCCATCCTTATATGTGAGCCATCGTAAATTCATGGTTTGCCGGAGTTGTGTTCAATTTAAATCTCCGAACTTCTGAAGCTGAGATATTCTAATTCTATGAATGAAGGCTTGTATCGCAGTCTAGAATTTAAAAACGGGTGACCAAATAATGAATTAGGTGCTAAATGTTGATTTAATGCTGGGTAAGTTAAAAACAGACATTCCGTCCGAGTGGGATTCATTCAAAAATTTGAGGGGGTTCGCTAGAAAACAGGGGGGTTCGCTAGAAAAGGGGGGTTCGCCCGAACCATGAAAACCCCCCCTGGCTACGGGCCTGTTATCCTTTTTTTATCCTCAGAGCTATTGTTTTTTGTCGTGAAATAATTTCATATATAAAAAAAATCATCAAAATTTCAGTGCTTAAATATTAGTAAAGTTTAAAGTGATTGTTTTTTAAATTCTAGCTGTATATTATGTTGATAGACAAATTCTACACCGTTTGTGGTAAATATATGAATTGCAAGCCTTAAGAATATATTTTATGTAAAGAGACGAATTCTACACCGCTTTTGGTAGTGCTATAAATATATGAATTGCAAGCCTTAAGAAGATATTTTAAGTAAAGAGACGAATTCTACACCGCTTGTGGTAGTGCTATAAATATATGAATTGCAAGCCTTAAGAAATATATTTTATGTAAAGAGACGAATTCTACACCGCTTTTGGTAGTGCTATAAATATATGAATTGCAAGCCTTAAGAAGATATTTTAAGTAAAGAGACGAATTCTACACCGCTTGTGGTGGTGCTATAAATATATGAATTGCAAGCCTTAAGAAGATATTTTATGTAATGAGACGAATTCTACACCGCTTTTGGAAGTGCTATAAATATATGAATTGCAAGCCTTAAGAAGATATTTTATGTAAAGAGACGAATTCTACACCGCTTGTGGTAGTGCTAAATATATATGAATTGCAAACCTTAAGAAGATATCTAAAAGTACTTGTTGGCACTTCTGCTGTATCAGGGGTGTGGTGCCAGTGGGCGAGCCACCTTGGACCTGAGCCAGCTATCATGGAGTCACAGCACAAATTCTGTCAGCAATAAATACTTATAAATAATAATTTTCTAAGCCAGAGACCGCTGGCTCAGGAGTGCCATTTTTGGGCATCGGAGGTGACAAACCTAAAATTTTTAACTCAAGTTCCAACCATCGTGGTCTGAGGTGGATGCGGCCCTTCTTTGGGGAAACAATGGCTCGCAGTAAATGCTATCGCCGCCACTGATATGTATGTATGTATAGTACAAAGTATGCATAGTTTAATTAACAGTATAAACAGTATATATAATGATTTACTGTGTATTGTAATGTACAGTAGCATAGCATGGTTTTCAGTTGTCTAAATCGTTTCTTTAAAATATGTATTTTACACAGACACCTGAACAGCAATTGCGACAGATTAATGGCAATATTTTGTACAAACCTGCTGTTCATAATTTGAAAAAATAATTATGAGTCACAACATTGAAAAATCCATGCCCACACTGCGTCATTCCAGCAGTGGAAGAAAGTTTCATATAAGTTATTATTTTAAAAATGATCCCAGTGCAATTCTTTACTATGGTAAAGCAATAGTAAATAAATAAGATCGTATAACAAATCTATATTTTTATCATGCGTATATTTTACTGTATTTTTTGTCGTTATAGAGAGAAACGTTATACACAGTAATACTGTAATATGTTTTAAATTTTCTGTGAGACCGTTTAGTTTTTGGAGGGTCATACTCGACATATAGTTTTGAGGGGCGGATCCAGAGATGTCCAAAAGGGGACCGAAAGTGAAGCTGGTCCAGTGAACAGTAACCTAGGGGTCCGGGGGCATGCCCCGCGAAATTTTTGTTTTCTACACGCACGAAAACACCCTTTAGGCATTTTGGGTGATCATTTTTTTCTTTTTCTTTCTTTCGTTTTTTTTTTTTTTTTTTTTTTTTTCTTTTTGACTTTCCAAAAGGGGGGGGGGGGGGTGTCGGTCTTTATTAATTACGGTATGTTCGGAGTCATTCCGACCCAATAAAGTAGGTTGAATTTTTTGTAACTTCCCTAATTTTCGGTCCGATTTGGACCGTCTTCCCTGGTAAGTTTGTTAGTAATGGTGATATTCACCAAATTGAGCCAGTCTCCGAAACTTTGTTGGGTACTTTAATAACTCAGGAGTACGATGTCCCGAATCGAAGTTGACCTGGGCAAAGAGGACTTAGTCAAAATAGAAGGAAAAGTAAGAGAAACGAAAACTTGAGTTAGTAAGGCAAAGAAAGATATGACTTGAATATAAGAGTGAAAAAGGTGAAATAATATTACACCATATAGACAGAAAGTCGTATATAGTAAAGAAATTAAATGCTGTAACAAAACTTGGCACTTTATACTTTGTAATACAATTGCAGTGACGTCGCTACTGGACAATATCGCAAGCAACACATAAACCGGACACGCACCCAGACCAGTAGCCTTCTGCAAATAAAGGCATGAATATTTCTAGTGCACATATTTGTTTTTTGTTTTTTGTTGTTTTTTTTTGTTTTTTTTTATAAGAACACTGAGGCTGAAATTGCTTAAAAATTAAGAACAAAATAAGAACAAATTGATTTGAATTTGAAATCGGCCAAAAAATACGAACACAGCCTGGGCAAAATTTTACTGGTTCTTATTTAAAAAAAAAAAAAAAAAAAAAAAAAAAAAAGTATAACCTGTACTCGTGTCTTTGTCAGAGTGATTATATGTATGTATATCAGTTTCGCACTTCCCCGTGGCTAGCTGAAAGTTTCGAAGGAGTCCTTAACATTCAATGAATTAATATTCACCATACTAAAATAAAAAAAATACCAGGGAAGCAAACTTACGTAACAACATGAATGAAGAGGCACCTGTTAAAACAGGATTGATTGATTGAATAATTTAATTGTTCACACATCAATCGCGCTACGCCCGTAGAGTTTCCAGATTGGAGCAAGTAAAAAGTAAGTTAATATTTTTATTTGATCGAAATGGCTCCGAGTCCAAACATAAATAAAATCTTTAAATTGACGTTAATATGCCAAATTAGCGCGGCCGCATGGATTAGCTGCGAAAGCGATCGATTTCACAGCCTGCCAACGAACTTGCATTTTGTCCTTGGGTAAGTTGCTCTGGGAACAGGTTAACGGCAAAAAACCAAAACGGCAAAAAACCAAAACGGCAACACTTAGACCAAAACGGCAATAAGTCAAAACGGCAATAAACCAAAACGGCAACACTTTCAGAACATAAGGCCTACTGTATGGTAATTGGCAAAATGGCGAAATAAAATACTACTTGGTTACTAGGCCTAGGCCTAGAGAGTCTAAGCCGAGGGCGTAGACTAATCATTTAATAGTTATTGTTATAAAAATGTATACTGTAGGCCTACATAAATGATTGCGGTTATCAAATCGCCTAAAATTGCGGAGAAATAAAATACAATTAAAAAAAAACGAAGAAAAAAGTATGCACTATGTACGACGTTGTCTTATAATTGTCAATAGAAAATGATCCATTATAAGTAATACACAGC